ACTTACTGACACCTGACCAACCACTGACTGAAACCTTACCAACTACTTACTGACACCTTTTCAACCACTGACTGACACCTTACCAACCACTAACTGTCACCTTACCAACCACTGAGAGCAGTTTTCGTGTCAGTGTTGTATTCATGCCTTGCTGCTACTGATATTTTCTTGAATTTTGATTGGAGGATTTTTTTCTTGCACAATGTGATTGGTCTGACAGTTCCGTGACATTGGTGTCATTGTGTCCACCCCAGGTTCATGCTATATGTTTCTGGCATTTGTTTGGATGGAGAGTAAATTCTTGTGTAATGTGATTGGGCTGGTTCATACCTTGCCGTAAGCTTTTCATAAAGTCACACGAAAACTACTCTACCGTTATGGTCTGGATTTTTCATATAACCAAATTATAATAATAAATATTCCTTTTAATATTCAGGTCTTCCAGCATACATGATTGAAAGCGACACTTTTTACCCAGCTTTTGGTCCAATTCTAGAAGTGTTAAAAAATAAAGGTAATAATTAATAATAATTATTAATAATTATGTAACTTGTGTATTTAAAGTGCTACTATGATAAAATTTTAATGTCTCCAATCTTTACTATTTAAACACATGTTAAAGTACTTTGCAAAAGAGGAAAATTGGCGTTTTTCACTTCTTGCTAGCATTTTTGGTTAAAGAGATATTCAAGTTTCAAGTTCATTTTCAACTCACAGTTTCCTTTAACATAGATTTCACTATATCTCTGAGAGTATTTGATGAAACTCATCCAAACTTTGCAGTATACTTGTATTCAAAACTGTGGTTGCTGTGGCTACACACTGATGTCCAGGCCACTAACACTGATTTTAACCTTTCAGCTATGGCTTTGTTATTTTTTAACTTGAGCAGAAATTTTTTTACTAACTTCGTTTACTACCATAACACATATTTTAACCTAGCCTTATTTGATCTCTCATAAGGTAGAAATTTCAAAAACCTGAATTTTAGATAGGATGACCCGAGGCTGTTGCTATGGCAACTTATCTCCATTGTAAATTTTGAAGAACAGCTAGAATAAAATAATAATAGCAAAGTCGATCTATTGAACACTTGCAAACAGTAAAACAAAGTCTTGATTTATGTGATATTTGGCGTTTAAGAAATCCTGAAGCAAAACGATTCACTTGGAGTGGTCATGCACAGGGTACAGCTACACATAAACAGCAGAGATTGTATCGTAGATTAGATTATTTTTTTATTTCGGACTATCTTC